CGGCATTCCCTGTTGAATTGGCTAAACCTCAGCTGAAACTGCATCATGGTTCAACTTGTCCATGTGTCCAGTCCTGCTTCCCTGACTTCCTTACAGTTGTTACCAAGAGCATTGTTTCCTCAATACACTTCTTATTTTGAAAAGATTTAATTTTATTTATTTATTTATTTATTTATTTATTTATTTATTTGAGAGAGAGAGAGAGCATGAGTTGGTGGGGAAGGACAGAGGGAGAAGGAAAGCAGACTCCCTGCTGAGCAGGGAGCCTGATGAGGGGCTTGATCCCAGGATCCCGAGATCATGACCTGAGCAGAAGGCAGACACTTAACCGACTGAACCACCCAGGTGCCCCTCTCAATAAAATTCTTATATGCGAATCTCCATCATAGCGTCTGTGTCCTAGGGCTCTCATTCTCTCACAGTTGGTACCAGGCCTGGTTTTTCAAAGCAGATCATGAATGAGATTTTGGAGTTGGATCTGTGCTTCTCTGATTGGCAATGAGGACGCCATCACTGACAATGATTTAGTATTATTCGGATTAATAGCCCCTGGAGTATGTTACAGTAGAATTTTAAAGACTTTCACCATTGCTGAACCTGGAGGGACACCTGTGGAGGGAAATGCAGGGCTCATGCAATATTTCTAGCATTTAACACTACGCATGTGGGGATGGGATGGAGAGAGGTAGTTCTTGCAAGAGCTAAGAAATTAAATGGATATTTCCTGGGATAATCAGTACACTGGGGAAAGTATAATAAATGCCTGGGAGTGGTTAATCATCAGCTTAAGGCTAAATGTGAAAATCAGGGGCCTTTGGTAACTACAAAGAAGCTCGCACCTCCTGTAGCTGGAGGACAGATAAAGCTGAGGACTAGGCCCGTGAGTTCACTGACCTGTTTCTTGTAGGTTCCATCAGGAAAAGAGACCAACTAGAATCCTGGAAGAGCTGATTCCAGATGGAGTGAATTTATTCAAGGAAATGAAGGGAACTATGTGATACAAGGGGTAGGCTGTAGTACATGCTGTGTGGCATAGCCCCTTTCGGAAATAAATTCCTGGGCTCCAGTCACCAGGAGCATTCTTGCTGAAGGGTCACAGCTGAGGCTCCTCTCAGGCTTGCCCTAAGCTGAAAGGAACTGCTTCTCCTCAGTCTATATCTCTTTCCAGGATGCAGTTTAATTCAATAACTGGTTTATACAGGGGGAGGAGGACAAGTTTTGTGGCTACCAAACAAGCAAACTAACAAAAAGAAAAAAAAAAAAAAACACTCACTCTGAATGAAGCATTGAATGGCGTTATCTATAGGGCCGCTAGTGTCCTCTAATGGGTCTCATTGGATTAGTCTGTTCTGTTCTATGATGCCATGATTTAATATTAGGTGTAAACAAGTAGTGAAGATATGCAAGTGTAATACAGACCAGGGCTTTTCAAAGGTATTTTAAAGTAATGAAACTTTCTTTCTGCTGCAGACTTTTTTGGGGGGTTTTTGGAAGGGAGAGCAGAATTCCTATATGTAATAAGGCTGTACATGGAATTCCTCTAGTTGGTCGATTTCTTTTATCTCCTCCTATGAGTAGTTCAAAATTTGGGTAGCCGGCACTCCTTTGACCTTGTCTCCTACTACTTTTTCTCCTCTACCCTTGCTCCCTTACAGTGGCTTTTGTAGTATGTTGGAAGAATCTTAATTCTCTACAGAGCTGTATTTATAAATCACTGTTCAAAATAACATGATAATCCTACAGAAGTCATTGAAATACTAGATGGGGTGTTGAAACTGTGAATCCTTCATTTCTCCAGGCTTTGATTGTGTACCACTTATTACGTCTTCTTCATCCTTTATTCTCTATATACCAAACTCCTACTTTGCATTTCTTTGGGAATCTTTAGGTAGGTATCTCAGAATAATTAAATTTTTGGTTTGGGTTTTACCGCTTCATGTCAACAAATCTAATGAGATGCTAACCAAGTTTGCTGCCTATTTTGTTCACTTGAAATCATAAACAGACATCATGAATATCTTAGCAGTTACTGATGAAAATGTCCTAACAATTTCTCTTAGAGATAATCAGATTTTGTAATGAGTTTGGACAGAGAGAGATTACATGACTTGTTTGTCACATAATTAAGTGGCAGAGCTGGGGTGGAATACAGGGTCTTCATCCTCTCCGTCAAAATTTTCCAGTATTCCATGTTAAAGTACTCTGGCAAATGAATTTCAATTTATTTCACCAACCATTGCTTTTGTACCCCATTAGACCAAAGTAAAAGAAATGTTAAAAAGAAAAATAAGATCCATCCCAAACAAAGGTCTAACACATCTATCTTCCTTTTTCTATATCCCCTCCATGTCCTCTTTCATACACATAGTACTTTTTAAAATTTTTATAATTTTTGCAAGAGAGATCTCCTCCTCCCATTTCTGCCATAGCTTTTTTTTCTCATCTCCAATTTCTTTCCCTCCTTTCTGTTTTCCCACCCTCCTTTTCTCTTCTTCTCTGTTCACTCAAGTCTCAGTTGACAGCACGCCATGCTGAAAAGAGGTTATTTTGAAGCAACCAAGGTCTGTCTTCTGGATTTCCCTTTTTCTTGAACAAAGGGAGTAGGAGGAAGTTTTCAAGTCATCAAAATCAATCCTTTCTCCTGTGTCTTGAGAAGTGAAAGAACAAATCTGCCTATGATGATCAGGGATTTGGGACTGAGGATAGGAGAAACAGATAAATTAACAAGTGTCTCTTGAGATTTGGAAGAAAGATGTTTTATCAGGTGGGTTAAGTTGGCCACAATCAAAGCCTAAAGGCTGTAAATTCCTAAAATCTCATCTGCATGAGGGTAAAAATAGATGAAAGTGTTGGGGAGTTGAAACCAAAAGACTATGACTGGCCTCAGCGAAGATGGAGACAGAAGATGGTTCTGTATCAGTGAGGAACTAGTTCTGCCCCAGTCTTGTTCTGGGTCAACAAAGAGCTAAGTGTACCATGGACTTGTATGCTTGGGGCTCAGGCTACTAGTGAATGCATTCTCTCAAATGAACATGACATCAGATATTTGTCTTCCCTTGAAGAACTTGCTGTGATTAGAACAGCAATCATCTAAGAGTTCCAACAGCTGTAATGTGGCCTTCACGGTCAGGAACAGAGCATGGGAAATGCAGCTATATCCTGAAAACAATGTTCACCTCCCTCCTCCTAGATACCCCTTCAGTTTCCTTAGTATTTGGCAATTTCCAATCATCTCTGCTCAGAAGTAGCAATCCTTCCTATAGCCTGAATTTTCTACTTGTGACAATTTGGCTACACAGCTTCCAATGGGCATTGCTGTAATTCCACCATAGCCCTTTTCTCCATCAACGTTGGCTCATGAGGGAATTGGGACTCTGAACTTTTATAATGCCACTAATCTGGGCATCCTTGTGCCCTGTGGGGATAGGTGGGTGAGGTGGTGAATAGAACATGGAGACCAAGGACTATCTCCATTTTGCTGGAGAATCCCCATTGCCAAGTGTTATTGGAAAGCAAACATCACTTTGGCCCTTCTGGCACCTACTGGAGCAGGAGATTTCCCCTTAGCTACTTTCTTCTGGACATGGCCAGAAATGACAAAGTTATATTCTGTAGCCAGCAACCTTCAGCCACAGGCTGCAGCAGCCCATGGAGAGATGACTGACACACACCAGACTTCTTCTATCTCTCAGACACTGAAAAGCCTTTGCAAATCTCTGGCTCTATAATGGGGAGGGCTTGAGGACTTGGTAGACTAGCCTGGACTTTGTAACACTACTCGCCAAAGGGACCTGACCAGTATATGTGAATTGCATCCCAAATCATACAACGGGATACCTTAACTAGGCTTGCATTCCACTTTTTCACTTACTTGTACACCATTAACATTTCCCATATTGCAACATGGTTTTGTATATTTGTTTAGTGAATGGCCTTCATAATTACAATTTGATTGCAGCATAATGTTTTCCCTTAAGAGGATGTGCCATAATTTGTGAGGCATTCATTGATTGCTGGACATTTAGGTTTTTTCCAATGTTTCATGATTACAAATAATGTTGCAAAAAATATGCCTATTGCTTCTCTTCTTATTTTAAATCATTTCCTTAGTGTACATTCCCAAGAGTGAGATTACCGAGTCAAAAGTGTAAACATTTTAGTTAAACAAGTCTAAAGGGAAAAACACATTCTATATGCTTGAAAAGTAAACTATGAATCTGGAAAATACCAATTGGCTGGGTCTTAATCTTTGCCCCATTTGATTTAATTTGAAATAAAGGTAAGCTTTCTTTTTCTATAACTGAATCTTATGAATTAGCGTCAACCACATAGGCTCTACCTACCGGCTGACCAAACTGACTCTAACTGTAGGGCTGTGATACCGCATAACAGAAATTATCTTGCCCTTGGGTTCAGTACAACATCCAATTGCATTATCATTTTCAGAGTAAATAGCTCTTGTCATCCCTAACTACAGCTGTGTGAAACCAGCGGCGTCCACTTGGCAGTGAATCACATACCAAAGTGTTACTCAATTATTATCCAGAAATAAAACTTAAATCACTTCTCCTGGCTAACTGAGTGTAAGGTACTTTTTATTTACTGAAGGGTGAAATCATGCCTTTCAGGCAAGCTTTGGTTTCAAGTGTCAGTTGTCTGATAGGGGAGGGTATTTTGATGGCCTCAAAATATAAGGTGGACACACGAAGCTTTCTCCCCCTTTTTTTTTCCCCATGGTTTTTGGCATTCAGGATGTAATCCTGGAGCTTCACCTCAAGGTAAATTCCACACTTACCTTACCATTTCCCTCAGGAAAACCCATTTCACAATAGTTATACTACAGTGGTATTTGCTTCACTTCAACAAAAATTTATTGAGTGTGTAGGTAGCAGGGCGTATGGAAAGAATATGGCTTGAGAATCATGCTGACCGGCTGTGTATTCATGAAAAATGTATGCAATTTCTCTAAATCCCAATGCCTTCATTTATTAAGTGAAAATAATAATACCTTTTTCACAAGTGGGAAGTGCAGATAATATACAAAATAGGAAGTTCTTGGCATGCAATAGGCACTCAATAAATGACAGTTCTTTTTCTTGGGTCTATATGGAATACAAAATTGCAAGACAGGGTTCCTGCTTTCAGAGCCTACAGAAGGGCAGATATGAGCAGGTAAATACAAGTAGCTAGGATACAAAAGTCTATGACAAATGCCATAAAAGAGAAACAAAGTTTGAAGGGAAACATCAAGGGGAGACAACAGAGACGACCTAGAGAGAGGCTATAAAAAATAGTAAAAACAAACTTGAGTCTGGATTCAGAGATTCTGGTTTCACAAGACTCCAAATTCTTTGAGACTGAATTTCTTTATCTAGAAGTGAAGGAAGTCAATTAATATTAATAGGGTTTGGAAACAAATGACATCATGTATATGAAATCTCTTTGAGCCTTACATCCTTTGCATTTGTTAGTAATTGCAATAATGATAATTCCAAATTCAACTCTCTGGAAACCCTTTATGGAGGTAGTGGCATATGAAATAGCTGTTAGAGAATGGATTAGATGCTGATCACATGTAAGAACTGGCTGAGGGAGTAGCTTAAGTAAAGGTTTGTGAGAAAGAAAACACACCATAGGGTGAGTGAATTTAAGTGGAAATAACAGTGAAAAGTGGGTTGGGACCATATGGGAAAAACTGGATGGTTTGCTAAGCATGTATTTACATTTTATTTTACATTATGGGAAGCTCTTAAAGTTTTGTGAACTGGAAGCAAAAGCACTCTCATCTCTCTGCTCTCAGAATGGAGTTTTAGAAAAGAATTTTCACAGTGGTATAGAGACCGCACACTCTCCCTCCCCTGTTGAGAAGGAATTTAGAGCACACATCCCAGAATCAACAATTGAATTGGAAGTTGACTTAAAATATTCTGTGGGAGTCTTGAATAACAGCCCCCCCCCAGATGTTCACCTTTTAATACCCCAAGTTTTGAATATGTTACCTCGTGTGGAAAAAGAGGATTTTGCAGGTGCAATTAAAGGTCTTGAGATGGGGATAGTGTCCTAGAGTATCCAGGTGGGCCCAGTGTAATCACAAATGTCTGTAAGAAAAGGGCAGGAGTGTCAAAATCAGAGAGAAGGGAGGTATGCAGCAGAAATTGGAGTGAAGTGCTTTGAAGGTGGAGGAAGGGGCCACCAGTCAAGGAATGTAGCTTCTGGAATCTAAAGGAGGACCTGATTCACCCTAGAGCCTCCAATAGAAATACAGTCTTTCCAACGCCTTCATTTTAGGACTTCTGACCTCCGAAACTGTCAGATAATACATTTATATTGTTATAAGCCACTCAGCTTGTGGTAACTTGTTATATCGATGACAGAAACTGACACATATCCTCTGTCGTGGTTGTTTTCAGCTTATTTATGAACTCTGTCCCTAATCCACTACCCACACCCACTATAAATCCATTAAAATACCCAAATTTTTCTCTGGGGATTTCTTTGAGAATATAAATGCATATCATTAAAATAAACATTGTCATACGTTCAGATCTGATCTTAAAAAAAAATTCAAGATCCATTTGAAAGTGGTACTTTTGCCTGTTTGGTTTTTCTCATCAGCTTGACACTATTTGGAGTCAAGGGAGCCCCTGAATTGGTCACAGCAAGGAGTTTCAGCTTAGGATCAGAGGGGCTGTTCCACAGACACAAAGTTAAATTTCGAATGCTGTTCTTTCCAAATGGTCCCAACTCTTTGCATATACACCTATTTAGAAGACTTTTTTTTTTTTTCTATCCAGTGTTCAGCTTGGCTCTTGTACTTCCTGGAATTTGGAGAGGAAAAAAAGTCACTAACTTTTAAGCATAAAGTAATAGGAAACTGGAAAGGGGAAAAACATCACAAACTATGGTGCTTTCAGAACTTACCAGGATTCCTTCGTGGCCATTCTTCTGTATCCCTATCCTCTATGACTTCAGCCAAAAAACATTAAAATGAGTTCCTTATACCGTGCATGGTTTGCAGGTGAGGGTTGTCTGAGCTTTAATTTGCTGTTTGATTCGCCCCAGGATTTTCAGGTGTTGCATGAGGGAGTAAAGTACAGAGTGTACCTTAGTTCTTGGTTGTTAGCCATTGGATGATGGCCATCATATTATTAAACCATCCAAGCACGCTGGGTCTCAACCACAAAATTTAATTTTCCCTACTGCAGGGACTAATCAACTACTATAGATGTAAAGACCTAAAGAGACTGTTTTTATCTGCAACAAATTCCCCCTGCAGACTGAAGTGGAGCTAATTTTAGTTTTGTCTATCCTCGGGGTTACAAACATTGATAGAAGTTCAGCGTGATGAGAAACAGATAAGAGGTGGAATTTATCTGAATGCAATCTGTGACATAAATTAAAGAAAGATGAAAGCTCTGAGGTTCTTGGTAACACCTTGGTAAATAATGTTTGGGGATTCCACTATAGGCAGTTCCCATCATACTTGTTAATATATTTTTACATCCTCTAGGTACCTCTAGGAGCTAATGTCTCCCTATTCCTTTCTGCCATTCCCCAGGAGGATTTTCCTCTTCTCCAACTCCTTCCCCTTTTCCTGACACCTCCTCAACCTTCACTGTCATCATAACCTGCTTCTAACCTTCCAACTCTGCACCAGCGGACAGAATCGGTGATACTGAAGTGGAAGCAGGGAAGAGAAGAAAATCAGGTGCACTGGATGCCTGCAATATTGGTCTTGGGCTCTTGTCAGACCTCACATATGACAGAGAACAAGATGTTGGAGACACTGGTAGCCAAACTCCTCTAACTGATTATCAAGGCATCCCATTATACAATCAAGATTTTTTAATGATAAAAAGGTCCTTGTAAATATTCTTAGACCTTTTTAACCCTTATCTTTAAAACTACTTCAAATACATAAGGCTCCCAAAGAGGTAAATTCATGTTTGACCACGTTAAGGCAGCTACTGAAGCAAAGGGTGCCACATGGCATCGATTGTTCCTAGGCTGATGCAATCAGCATGGAGTAATAAAATGGAATGGGCTGACTCTTGAGGTGGAAAAACTTTTGATTATGCGGATTACACGATCAGAAGCAGCAAATCCATATGGCTCCAAGCCAAGTGACAATTGCAGGAAGGGCACTGCATCTCTTTCAAATATTTAAGGATGATCTCATTGAGACATCAAAGAAATAAGTTGTAGCTATAGCAAAGGATTGATTTGATTGCTTTAGGACACAAATTGTTTGGCATAACACCAGAGTTTGGGGGTAAATTCCAAGTATTTATACAGGTGACCCAAGACTTACAGCTGCTTAACTTGTAACTATTGTTCAGGAAACAATTAAGATGTAAGTGCGGGGGTACAGTCAGCAGTATACTCCAGGGAGCTCCTGGGAGGTATAGGGTTTGGGGGGCTGACTAGAAGTCCAACCACAATTTTTGATAATTTCTATTGAAACATATAATCACAGTTCTGTAAAGCCAAGTTAAAAGCTATCTGAGTTTCAAAGCAATCTGTGTTTTGCAATGCCAAACTTGCCCAGGGAAAACAAACTAGTATCTTACTTGATCCAAGTATGTGATACAATTTTTTTTCACTGGAGTGGAAAGTTGATTCTGATTGAAGACTGAAATACCGGTTGACCAGACTGCACTGTCAAGTTTTCCCAATCTGATTAAGAGGCATTACATTTATCTGAGAGAAAAAGTAAGAATCGAATGGCTAATTGGAATAAGGTGGCACTTTACTTCTTTTATACCCTAATGGGTCAAACGTTATGAGGTGTTTGTCCACCATTCCACCTCTCTTCCTTATTTAAGAAAACTCCAGTTTTGTTGGGTAGCCATGTGCTCAGTTCCAGGAGGGGCCTCCTGCTGTAATAAGGAGACACATAAATAACCCTTTCCTCTCTGTCAGTTATTGGTTATAAGGTGGGTATAAGAGCAGTTCTTGTCAATGGGATGATATAAGAAGTATGAAGAAGACTTTTTTCTGCCATCACTTCTTATCGTCCTTCCATTTCGAATGTGCTTCCAAAAAATTTTGATGATTGAAACATCAGCAGCCATTCTGAGATCATCAGGGGAGACCTCTTCCTAGGACTGAGAATACAAAGAACAGAAGCTTAGAAAGAGGGGGGCCCTCATCTATCAGTAAGTCCCAAACACAACTCAGGAATCACCTCCTCTGGCCATCTTATTGTGGAAACAAGGAATGTTTTCTATTTTAAGCAACTTTTGGTTGAGTATTTTGTTGAGTATTATGTGCTTTTATTCAGCAAAAAGCACTCTAGATGATCAACTCAAGAAACCCTTTATTCTAGGAGGTGGCACCATGGTTTATCATGGAACTCGGAAATCAAAGAGGATTAGAAAGCAGATTTGAGAGCCTTGGGCCAAAGAATCACAGCGATCGCCCAAAGGTGTTTTCCTATGGGCAATTATGAGAAAAATTTGAACTGGAGCAATCTTCCCCTTATAAAAATTAACCCAAGTCACAGGTAAGGGAACCACTGAATTCAAGAACTTTTTCAGATAGAGAATCATATTTCACTCTGATATTTTGGAAGGGAAAAGTGAGTGAGAAGCCAGAATTACTGCAAATGTGTAGGATGTGCTGCATTAACATTCTATTTAGGTTTTGAAAAGGGTCTCCCTTGCTATTTTTGGAAATATCGTTGGTAAGTTTCACACCTGTATTCCAGGAAGTTGCAACATCTGAATTTTACTTATTAAAATGAGACATGGTCTCAATTACCTTCTGAAGAGAGAAAAGCATGAGTAAGATCACTGTGGGTCTCCCAAATGTAAAATTAATCCATGTTACCCTTAACCACAGAAGCATTTCTTAGACAATCTGAGAAAAGGAGAGGGTGGGAAGAGCAGAGAGGAGATCAGAAGGTGTTTGAATGAACTAATGGTCCCTTTAAATTCACCGGTTCTGGCAATAAAGGGTGTCCTCCACACCTGTTAAATTTATCAAGAAGAGGCAGGACAGCTTCCATGACTAAGAAAGAAAGCCATTTTGAAGTGTTCATTCAAAATGATTGCTGTCGAGGCTTTACAGGAAACATTAGCTTTAAATGACAATTGGAAATTGAAGAAAGTTGCTACCCAAGAAAACAATTATAAGTATTCTTAATTGCCTGGAAATGGTTTGTCATGCAAAATCGGACCACGCACGATACATTTACATAAATGGCTCAGAGGCACCGATGTTGTAATGCCGCAGAGTCTCTTTGCACACGGTGTTCCGATAACACACTTGAGACTAGGAATCTGACTTGCTTTTCTCTCTCCTCCCCTACCTTCTCCACCACCTCTTCATGCTTTTTGAGGCCGGGAGGGATGGAGGGAAGGAAGAGCAAGCATAAAATAACTGCAAAAAGTCAGTGACTGCTACTCAATGTATTTTATTATTTCAGGAATTCATTCAAAGCCGGGCTGCAATTACATTTAAAACAGGAGAATAATGGGCTATTGACATGTATATGGTTTTAGAAATATAAGGCCTCATTTTCTCAGCTGGAATTTCCCCTACAATGTGCATTTGCATTACATTAGAGATGCTCTTTTGGAAAAGGAGGATCACATGCATTCAGACATTTTGACATTATCTGGGTCAGAGGCAACATTTAAAAGCAATAGCCGTACTAGTACCAAAGCTCTCTTGCAGGCAAGCATTGCAGTGCATTAGAGAAAAAGGAGGCGAGCCCTGAGCGTCTCCCTGCATTGGCCATGTTTTATGACATACCTGCCTAACCCAGACATTAATCTACTGAAGATGAATTGGCCTGGTCATGGTCCTCTGCTAACCTTCAACGGCGTGTACATTACCTAAATTGAAATCTGCACTTTTTCATGCCACGTGTGGTTTGATGTGATGGTCCAAGGAATGTAGGGTGCATTAGAATTGGTTTTTATGTGAAGAGAATCTCCCCTCCTATTTACCTTTCAGCAGGGCAGCTGCAGGCTTTCCTGCTCACTTGACAATGAAGGCATTATTCTCTACTGCTTCACCCAAGAGTAGCTACTCTGGCCGGCTCAAAATTGCGTGGCCCTGGTCAGGTATGTAAGCAACCCAGTGCCTTTCCTGTTCCCAGAAGTGCCAAAGGCATAATGAAAAAGGAATGCAGAAGTTTTCACCTGTTGTAACTGTCTAATAAAGCCCTGGACAATGAATTCTTTGTCATCTTCCAAGAAGAGGTCAGTTGTAGGTGTCCGTGATTACATGAGTACTTTATGTGAACAGAAAGACCTGTATAATTGGTGTGATATGACCAGTAAAATCTCATCAAAGTTGCACAAGATGTCTATAATTTTCTAATCCCTCACGTCCTGGTTCCTCAGACATGACACTCTTTATTTACCCTGCATTTACACTTCTTCCCAGAATGGGCAGGGAAACTAGACTCGTACTGGCCCCTCTATAATTACTGTAATAAGTTGGGGGAAACTAGGAAACAGTGAATCCTTGTGAAACTGCTTTCCTTGAATTTTCTGTTCTTCTGCAGGTTAAAATTGAAAGAATAAACGGACACCACAGGGCCCATGAGCACAGGCTTTATGGGCAGATAACCTATGTTTAAATCCTCCTCCTCCAGTTATTGGAGATGGGTGACCTTTGAGCTTAATTTCCTCATTGGCAAACAGGTGATAATAATGAAGATCAGATGGGTTTCTGTGATCATTCATTCATTCAACAAGTACATAGAAAACAGTTCCATGTACCAGGCACTCTATGTGCCTCTAGCTATTGGTGATAGACTGCTGGTATCTTGTTTTCATGGAGCCTATAGAGATCAATCCAGGAAAGCATTTAGCAAACAGTGCTTGGCACATAGTAAACACACCATAAATTTGCTATTATCATCACAATTACTGTAATAAAAGTATGCAGAGTCACATTTCCACACTTCCTATTGAAGATATTCCATGCCATCATCTAGAAGAGCAACAGAAGGGTTATTTTAAACAATGGTATGACACTCTCCAGACAAGCATAGTTTAGAAATTTGACTACTCGCTTTCTCGTGCAGATACTTTTGTAAAAC